CGACAAAAAATCTCTTCAGGGGAACACATAATTTTTCAGCGGAACAAATTTTTCTCTCAGTGTGATCCCAATAATCCACCACCCCGAAAAGTCAGAAAAAAAATCGTGTTTAATACGGTGAATAAATCTCCGGTGCCCGCCCCCAATTCCCAGCGGACAATTTGCTGGATTTTAGTGTCGCTGATCAGCCGCAGAGAGAAATCACCCCCGGAAGTGGCCTTTGATCCGTTCAACTCTGACCGGCGAGTCACGTGACGAGAGAAAGACTCGAGGTCTCGCTATACATCCGGGGGTAATATCGACACAATGCAGAAAGGTACGGAAAAAAGACGAGCGAGAGAGAGAGAGAGAGAGAGAGAGAGAGCGAGTGGGAATGAAAAGGCGGGGGTGGGGGCACTCGAAGTCGAGGATTCAGTTTTCCGGCGACGGGTGCAAAAACTCCTATTCATGAATGGACGAGACATTTGTGGTAACTGAAAAGGAATCTAGACACGAGCTAACTCGGCTTTTCATGCTGAAATATCGACAATCGCTGAGTGCAAACACGAGAGCGACCGCAGGCCAACTTCTTCTGGCGGCTCTCGGGGGTTTGTGTGTGTGTGTCGTGTTGTCTGTGTGAAATAAAATTTCTGGGTTGTTGCCGCGTGCCGCCGTTATGTTTGAGGGACACGAGAGAAGGCGTAATGGACAACGGACAATTTGTCATCGATGATTTGCGAGTTGAGGACACATCCCACTACTTATTCGTCATTTCTCGGGGCTTTTTGGAGGAGACGGGGACAATTCTGGCGGTTTTTGGTGGAGAATCGAGGGTGGGGGGATGAAATGAGGTTTTGGCTGTTGGATTAGTGGAAGGAGGAAGATTAGCATTTTATTCCATGAGAAACTGAGAATTTCTATCAATTTTTATCGAGGATGAAAAAAATCATAGAATAATACAGGGGATTTACTAGTCAACAAAAATTAATAAAATTTCTAGTAGAAGTTCAATAGAAAGTCTAGAATTTTCTATGAACTTCCCTAGGTTTTTGTATTAAATTTCTTTATCTGTGCGGCGTAATTTGCAACTGAATATTTATATTTTGAGTGAAAAATCAAGTATCCTCTCAAAAGTCACTGTAAACTTTGCAAATTTCATGATTTTCCCCCCCGAATAAAATTCAACACCGCTCCCCCCCAAAAATTACTAAACTAACCCACGTAATTTCAATCCCTGTCGATCACTCCCGTCACTCCACCCCATCATCCCCTCCCAATGCACCCCCCCCCCCCCCCCCCCCC